AATCGGTCAAAAATAGTTGCGACCATACAAAACAAACCTAAAACAAATATGTATATTCTGCAACTCTATGTCTTTCAATACTTACTGTGTTCTGAGCATTGAAATGTAATACCAAGAACTACATCTTGTTCCACAATACAATAAGCACGAAATTTTAAACAAATATTTTTAACCTTATAAATTAGGCTTTAAGTATCATTTTAGAATAAATATTTTTGTACTGATGACTTTTTATGTTCAAGTGACATTTTAAATTTATTCCATAATATTCTTTTTCTGACGAAAGGACCTAAATACATATATTTTGCAATGGTAATTAAACTTTATGTTTAAGTATTAAGGTTTATAATAAACTGAAGTCGTTAACATTATTAAACTTTTTTCTAAGAAATGAAGATGTTTTCGTGTCTGCAAACGTGGCCACTGGAGCGTCTTATTTTTGTTCCTGATCCGTAATCTAGTACTATTATTGATCGAAGAATCCAAACCAAATAATATGTCGTCGACTCTTTTGAGTTACGGATCGATTACACTCTTATCCTTTTGATGTTTGATAGTTATAGTCTATTTTTTTTGCTGCTTCAGCTGCCACAAGAAGCCTGTAATCATTCAATATTTTTAGCGAAGTTATTATTTATGTGCAGTGATGTGAATGTTTTGATTTAATTAAAATAGGTGACTGATATTTTTAGTTGAATGGATAATATATAATAAAATATAGTAGTATAAAAAGTATAGATGTCACCGTCAAAATGTCTGTCACGAAGATAGACAAGAAAACGAATTGAGACCCCGCGGTACAATGATCGGGATTTTTAACAATTATTCATCTATCATACAAATCCAACGAAACTATAGAGAGTTATTCCAAATAACTTCATTCGGTGTAATAATTTAATTTATAGGATGTTCATGAATATTTTAATATCCTTACGTTTCGATAATAATACCGCGTTAGCCGTATGCTCTTTTAACAATATTTTAGATATATTTTATGTGCCCATTAATGGTTGAGCGTATCGTAAACGTATTTTGTTAACAAATTTGACCTACACAACGTGGTTAGTTAACATCTTCACTGCGGAACAGGTCCATATTGGCACGCCGCGGTACTTTCAGCTGGTGCGGACGAAGAAAACTATGTCCTTCTCGCTGGTGCAGACCGATTATTTCAGGTATTTGTAAGAGTTCGACAATGACAACTGTACACTATAAATTGTATACAGTGTGTTTTCGCAAAGTTGCAGCATTTAACTACCCTAGTGCTGGTGGGTCGAGAAAGACTTGCCTCGCACTGGTGGAACTATCGTTGGGGGCGAATTTCGAATCACCGCCGCACCAGATGAAGGTTTATGATTTTAATTGCTACAGCCAAGATGCTAAACGATAAAATTCAACTTACAAATTCATTTCAAAGATAAAACTAAATGTTAGATTATATTTTGCATACTCTGGTATCGGACCGAAGGAAATTTTATCCAATCGAAGATCTAAGGTCTATTGGCAGCGGTCGGGGAACTGTTTTAATTATTACTCCAAAATATTCTTGTGTAACTTGATATTAATTACCCCATGGCGAAGAACAAAAAAAAACGAATTTGCTTCTTTTTAGCATCTTTCATATTATAGCCCCCAATAAAATACCTGGGTCAATCACGTGAACTTTATATTTCCAAATAATTTGTTCTATCTCATTCTCTCGCCGGCTGAATCCTATACATTTATGTGTTTGTGTCTCTATGGACTTATTTTTTCGTTTCGTTTCATTTCGTTTCATCGAGTTTGAAATCACAACGATTCTAAAGAAGTTTCACTTCAATATATACTTTTTACTTACAAAAGTTTCATTTTTACCCCCAAAATTTCATTTTACCCCATTTGGGGTAATTTACCCCGGTTCCCCGACCGCTGGTCTACGGTGAGCGTTGACTATCAACAACGATAATTAATTATAATCGATAATCTCATGTGTCTATTAAAAGAATGTGTATACTTAAAAAAACGTAATAAACAATAATAATATAACTATTCGGCCCTTATTTACGCACTTTTGGACCTAAGGCTTGCTAATAGACATCGCTGAGGTTGATCTTTAGAATGACTCCTTCGCTTCGTTAAATAGAAGCAAACCCAAAGACTATATGAACAATTAAAAAACCCTGTATTTTCTTTTTGCGTTTCTTCACCAGATTTTCTCTGAATATGAGGTCATTCAGTCTGACTCCGTTAGCTCGAGAAAACCGGTGTAATAAGCAAGGGTTCACGTTCAAGGTAATTGTATTAAATCCGTAACCGTCGGCTGTATTGCCACGGTTTGCACGTAATTGTAAAGAATATGCCCTTAAGAAAAGGCACCCGCAATCTTCGAGAGTTGCACAAACTAAATTTAATTCTTAAAGTCCTTAAATTTTTATCTACAAGTTGATTAAGGATCAACATGAAAATCCTTAAATTTCAAAGGACATAATTAATAATGTAAGCTTATGGAAAAATAATGTTGCCTGAAAGATTGTTACAAAGTACAAATTCCTTTTATTAAATCAATCAGAAATTGTTTTGTTCAAAACGTTTTAGTTTAGTTTTAAGCAGAGAGCTTTTAAAGATGAAAGTCTTCGGTGGCATAGTGATTCTCTTTGTCTTCAACGACTTGAGTGCTTAATTGTATTTGAATAATAGCGATACCCCGAATTTCCAGATAGCTAGCTTCGTCAAAACACGGCAACATTCCCGTTCTCTACATTCAGTTGGAGTCATGCGGTCGTTGTTGATGCCCGCGTCCCAGCCACATAAATAATCTCGGGTCAAGTCGATTTATCACACTGCTCGAAGTCATGACATTTTGTGGAACAACGGGCCTATCTTAAATATAATCTCTAAAAGTGTCCGTTATGGGTTCGTTCAATCAATCGAGACGTTTGAAAAATTTGCAAAATTTAAAAAGTGGCGCGATGAAACTTCCCCGTCATTGGTCTAAGATGTTGGGACTTGTGAACATCAGTAAAGCGACTATTGAGGAATTATTTCAGGTCAGTATTTGGAAGAATAATAAAAAAAAATCTCATTCGTAATTTAAAACTTATGACACGTCAAATGCAGACTTATTAATAATAATGATTTTAAAATGAGTAGTTTCAAATTATCTTTTTACACAAATTATATTTAATCATATTTTATTAAAGAACCAAAACAAATTAATGACTACCGTTAAGCCCAGGCCATGGCGGGTAGATCCCTGAAAGACATTATGAAATTGCTCACATTCACATACCCCAAGAAACGTCCATCGTGGAGGGTTAATTGGATAGTCCATTTTTAGAATTGTTGGGATTTTGTTAAATATTCTTATGTATTATAATGCTGATGCCACTTTTGTAACAAAGGTACTCGATACTTATTTTCGAAATATCACAATAAGTACAAAGATTAATTAGACAAAGTTTAAATTTTTTTCAAAATAACATAGGCTGCATGAATGATATTTTAATTAATAAAAATTATTAGTCTATCTAAAAATGGTCAAAGACAAAACAGTTAAACCCAATTTTATTTAATATTCGTCAACTGATTATTTTTATCTACTAAAGAGGTTTATTTAGTATTAACCAAACAGAAAAAAAAAAAACAAAAAGAAATAGAAACGTTATTTTTATTACATTTGCAAGTTAAATGTCAATCACTAAAAAATAAATAAAAGCGAACACATAAAATGGATCTAAAATCTTGAGACGTCAATCATCATGATTGGATTCGATCATTAGACGGATGGAAAACAAAACTGTACGGGAAATTTTTGATCGGTGCACTGTATGCTCTTATCGAAAGTCAAGCGAATCAAGAAATGTTTATTTGTTTTCTACTGAATTGGTAGAAGAGATCACGACTCTCTTGGTGACTTACCAGGGCTTATAAGCATCACAATGCTCACCTTAATGACTGTCTTGTCATTCACACGCCATGTCCATTTTCCGGCAGAAATAGGCACGGCTCCGATACCATCGAGTTTACAATAAATAAGTCTTATTCAAAGTCATATCACGTCATGACATATACCTGTCGCATTCTGAAAATAACGAGACTTCAGAAAAAGAAAATAAGAAAAAGTATAAAGCCTCAGTCTTTATTATTCCATTAACATATGACTCTACGAAAGGCTTTGCTCGTTCACTACCTAATTTGATAATTTGGTATCTGTTTGAAAATACTACGGCAAACCTTCAGAAGTTTACGAACTCTTCATGGTTATAAAAAGCCTATTCATTATTTCGGTGGCGTTACAGAAGTTCCAAGTTAATGAGATTTCACCGTATCTGTCGGAGGACATAAATAGGTAGGTTTTATTATTATAACATTTCTTTTATATCCCGACGAGCAAACGACCTTCGTGGTGAATTTTTATCAATAGCTATGGGCATCAGCAATGCAAAGGACTTAGCAGAGCCATTGACAACCGCTTAGGGCTATTAGCTATTAAAATTGCTGTTTATTATTCAGAAAGTTAGCCATTATTTATAAATATATTTTTTTTGCTATGAATGAAAATAACCACCCATATTATCGACGGATCTCTGCCAGCGGAATGGTATTTTTTCAAAGACCTTCTTGTAGAAATCATTTTTACGGTAGCAAACACAGAAGCATTTTGTATTGAATTTTTTGCTGTCAAGAAGCCTTGTCCAACCTTTGGAACAAGTAGCTGTCAGCTTAAGGTCTAGTGAGTACAGTGGATGCCACAAAACTTCCAATCCTAGGTCTGGTAGCTCAGAAATCTGTTGTGCAGTATGAGATCAAACGTTGTCGTGTAGTAGCAGCTAGGACGACCGATTAACCAAGCCAATTCCTCACAGTACACTTCCACAGTAATGCTGGTGACATTTGTTATTTTATTTTTTTTGCTCAGTAGGAAATCGCCGGACTCCCACTCTCCACTGGGGATGGTGGGCGGGGTATGTCGGAGTCGAACCGACTAAAACTTCCTATCGCTCAACAACCCACGTCCGAACCTCTCATGAGACAGAACTCATGAAAAGGCAAAGGGGGGAGAGTGAAGCGCTTAGTGCGGAGCACAACTCTCCCATCCCCCTCGGGACGCCGGACCGGTCGTCAGCGCCACGACCACCAGCCCTCTAGGTCGGCAGGCTGTCCGAAGCCCGCCTAGATGGCGCCGGTTAGAGTTAGTTATTCTAAGGAATACCCCACTGGGTCAGAACCAGCGTGGGTCGAGGATAGCCAGCCTTCCATCACCCGGATGCTCTTGCATAAAATGCGTGCAGAGCAGCTTGCACGTCGTCTTTTTAGGCCCCCTTCGCCGGGCCCCAGACCGACATATGAAGGGGACCCGAAACACTTAGAGGGCTTGGGCGTGATCCACCTCCCTGACCCCCGCTCGACGGTGGCGGGCTTGTGCGTCTGACACGCGCCCCGCCGCCTCCTTCTGCGAGATGGTACACTCGCAGAAGTCGAGCATCGCCTTCCACGACTCGTCGTTGTCGAGCATCGATGCCACAACACTCGGCAACGACAAGTCGTTTCCTGATTTTGCGACGAGGACACGGCGCCACCCCTCCCATGCGGGGCAGGCAACGAGCTTGCGCTTCGCCGTGTCCAAGTCGCAACCACAATGGTGGCACTCTGCCGTCTCCTCGGCTCCGATCCGGTGCAGGAAATCACCGAAGCAACCATGCCCAGTGAGCACCTGCGTGAGCCGGAAAGTGAGGCGTCCTCTGTCACGATTCACCCAATCCACAAGGACCGGGCGAACCGCCTCGACGGTCCTACGACCAGCCGAAGGATCAGCCAGCTGCCTGGACCAAGACTCCAGCACGGAAGTGATATTTGGTAAGAATTTATAATTAATTATTCCGGCACTAGATCACTAATCAAAGTCCATGGCATTTTTAGGCATAAGCTTAGGTGTATGGCGTTGCCTAGGTGCTGAATTAGGGTCTAGTCATGATGATTGCTTAAGATTATCAAAAAGAATCCATTTTTCATCGCAAGTAATCATCATCATCATCATCATCAACAGCCCACAGACGTCCACTGCTGGACATAGGCCTCTCCCAATCCACACCACTGAGCACGGTCTGCGGCTCTCCTCATCCACTTCTTGCCGGCCACCGTGCGGAGGTCATCGCACCACCTAGCCAAGGGGCGTCCCACGTTACGTCTTCCGCTGCGCGGTCTCCACTCGAGGACCCGTCTGCTCCAGCGATCGTCAGTCCTACGGCATATATGGCCAGCCCACTGCCACTTCAGCTTGCTGACTCTTTGAGCTATGTCGATGACTTTAGTTCTCTGTCGAATAATCTCATTCCGGATTTTATCCTTCAGAGAAACTCCGAGCATGGCTCTTTCCATGGCTCGCTGAGCGACTTTGAGCTGACGGACCAACCGTACTGTGAGTGTCCACGTTTCGGCTCCGTAAGTCATTACCGGTAGGACGCACTGGTTAAAAACTTTCGTTTTCAGGCACTGTGGGATGTGCGATGAAAAGATTCCACGTAGTTTGCCGAACGCCGCCCAGCCCAGTTGGATCCTTCTCTTGATTTCCCTCTCCAAGCTGTGTTTACCCATCTGCAGCGTCTGCCCAAGGTATAAATATTCATCAACAGCTTCAAGCGGGCAGCCCTTCACGACGATCGGACCCGGGCTAATGTAACAATTGAACATCACTTTGGTTTTATCCATGTTCATCGCAAGTAATAATACAGCTTAAAATTCCTTCGTTTCTATGTCTGTTAAACAACGCAACGTATGCTCCGTAACGCGTTTGTCGCTCTGGCGACCGTTCAGTTCATGCGGTACCCACATATCACGTTTTGCATTGCCAATTTGACGCAAATGGACCAATGTTGTTTTGATGCTAACGTTGCATGCAGTTGCTAATTCAGCGATAGCTTGAATATCGTCAGCTTCAGCTGTTGCTAACTCAGCGATAGCTTGAGTATCGTCAGCTTCAGCTGTTGCTAACTCAGCGATAGCTTGAGTATCGTCAGCTTCTACTATCATCTTTAATTCGTCATTGTTGACATTAGTTTTCGAACAACCAATAACGAGTAGTGCTTCCGTTTTTAGTGTTCTCTTCGTACACTTCATTAATGTTGTAAGGCGTTGCAAGTGCGATATTGCTGCCGCAACGGAACTCGTGTTCCATAATTACACTTATTTTTATCGAGTCCATATTGATGAAAGAGATACAAATGTAATCAAAACGAAACACTAATCAATAAATAAATCACTAAATTTCAAAACAGATTTACCTTTTTTTACGTAATTAAAATTCATTTTTGCTTATAAGGTATGGCGAGCCACATATACCTACTACCTATATATTACGTTCCAAAGAGACAGTATTGTATTAGGCATTATTTTCACATAATATAATTTTCTTATTTGAGCGATTATTTTCTTCGATTTTCGCTAATCGGTGGCACAGTTACAGTATTTTTGTAATTTAATATCGCGTTCATAATTATCATTTTATTATTTTCGACATTTCAAATATTTTATAGATTTATTGGTCGCGGACGACGGTCAATCGTAATTATCCATAACGAGATCTATATGAATGTTAATATTAAAAACAATCTTAGAAATATTCTTAGCAGCAACCTCCGGTAGCGGTAGTTTTCACTTCGATATGAGAACCACGTTGGGAACCAATATAAGTTTATGTCAACTTTTATACTTAAAGCCAAAGGTGACCGGCGATGTCATTTGCGTTAAATTAAATTCAAAAGTAACCGACGCGTAGTTTTGTTTCGTTACTTATAAAAGTATAGTACTACATCGTGAAAAAAATTATTCATCATCTTTTAACGTACTCATTCAAGCCTTTAAGTAAATTAAACAAATTAGTTTTTTTTTTGCGTTTATAATATGCGGCCCTCTTAATGTTGAGTGGTTAAAGTCACTCATGAACTCAATGCTGCCTACCACTAAATAGTATCCGCAAACTTTGTTTGAAAAAGACTTGACATAGAGCTTAGGAAACACCGAGGAGGGAAGTTTATTCCAAAGTCGATTG